ATGTTACACTACTGGTTTAGCAATTAAATGGATGCTGAAGATATTCATTGATACTCAATAGATTAAAAGAATCAGAGAACAATTTGTATGAGCTAATAAAATAAATTCATACAACGTGACTGGCATTGAAAGAAACTAGAAATAAAACATTGTATAAATATTTTAAGAATGTTACACTACTAGTTCAGCAATTACATCAATACTGAAGGAATTCATTGATACTCAATAGATTAAAAATCAGAGAGCAATTTGTATAGACCAATAAAATAAATGCATTTATGTTAGTCAGATTAGCATTGAAAGAAACTAGAAATAAAAATATCATACATAATTGTTTAACAATTAATTATTCATGAATAGCCAATAGATTACTACAATTAGAATATTAAGAGAATCAGATTCAGCCAGTTTATACAAGCTAATGAAATAAATGTATCTAACGTGTCAAGCCATATAATTATCAACTGAGATCAGATTACGAAACCGACTGATCTATTTTTTAAGAGCGTTTCCACTTTCTCCTATGAATTTAAACGTCTCAAGGGGCTCTCGATCGGACTTCGATCCACGCTTCGGACGAAAGTCAAAGCGATGCATCTGGAGTGATACTGAATACGGATCTAGATAAGCTTCTTGTACGCGTAAAGGAAAACGCGTTGACATCGTCGAGGCTCATGCATAACACAGTTTCTTACGTCGAGACACGGCGTCGATTCTGGAGGACGCGAATCTCGGTCACATAGGCGAGTAATTTTTGCATCAGTATCAATCATACATCATAATCCGTTTTGATATAGTGTTCTATACAAACAATGGGAGAGCATTCGTGGTGAGGACGTTAACTGTTTTAGTTTAAATGGTTTTATTATCGTGCAGGTTTTTATGCAAATGCAAGATTGCAGGGTAGCAATTGAAAAAAAAATGAAATCTAGATTAAGCATCGCGATATGCAGTTCCCTATACTATATACGGTTTTGTATAATTCATTTTTTACGTTCTAAATTTTTTATAACAAGATACAACTCGCATTTCGTATGCCGATGTAAGAGAGTCTTGATTGGCAAATGAAGAATCTTTAATCATGTTTATCAATACGTAACTTAAATAGATTCTTTTTTTATGATAATGAACTAGTTTAACATGTATGACATCTTAATTGCTTTTTTTCTTCAACATCGCTGCAGTCCTTAGTTTCCGTTATTTTATTTATTATAAACACGGTAACTGAGATAATTATTTATTATTAACATGC